TCGGATCAGTCTGATGCAACTTACTATTTAACTCATCACACACAATGGCGGAGGAAGAGGCGTGCGGGCGGAGCACACCGCCCCCGGCAACATGATCCTGGCAGGATGCCATCGCATCTGCCCCCACCCCGTGCTGGGCGCCACGCTCTATGGGCAGCGTGCCACGCCCCCAGGACACGCACCAGCCCTGCCCCGCCTGCTCTCTGCCCCCCCGGAGCCAGAGCATGAAGCTCCGCCCCTGATCACACACAGAGTAAACTTTTCTAGTTCAACATAAAACAAACTATGTCCAAGTAAACACGTTTTTAAATGTGATTTATTCACACCTATATAGAGTTGGATTTGATATCCCGCTTTATCACTACCCGAAGGAGTCTCAAAGCGGCTAACATTCTCCTTTCCCTTCCTCCCCCACAACAAACACTCTGTGAGGTGAGTGGGGCTGAGAGACTTCAAAGAAGTGTGACTGGCCCAAGGTCACCCAGCAGCTGTATGTGGAGGAGCGGAGACGCGAACCCGGTTCCCCAGATTACGAGACTACCACTCTTAACCACTACACCATGCTGGCTCTCTATAGCTAAGGCTCTCTATAGCTAAGGAGTCACACATAGACTTACTTCCGCTTCTTCTGGGGCAAATGAGCTTCTTACAGAGTAAACCACCCACAACTCCACTCTGGTTGATGGTGTGTGTGTGTTTGGAGAGGGAGGGGGGAAATGGTACACAGATATTACTCCACTTCGTACAATTATTTGCAATAGGAAGAAGTGTGTTTACTTGAACCAGGGACTGTATTTAATTTTCTTTAACACAACTACTTACAGCTGCTTGCATAATACGTAGGATCTATCTTTTACAATTAATAAGGAAGCAAATATACTCAAGCTTTGTTGTAATTAGGATGAACAACCAAAGAAGTATAGATCAAGCAAGCTACAGTATGTTACTGAAACAGAGAGGCACCGTAACAGTGTTTTGGCTTTCCAAGACCTTTATTTATAGCTATGTGTAAGATTACTTTTTAAATCTCTTTCTAAATGAAATTTGTAATTTTCCATCAGGGATAACTTAAATGGGATCATTAGGGCTAAGCAGTAAATTAATGTACTTGGTATAATATGTCCTTAGGGATGCAAGCTTTAATCAGAACTGGGTAAGTGTTGAGAGTTGGATATTCTCTTTAGCTAAGACCAATGCGAAATAGCTTCTCCCCAAAGAGCTGATAATATATGCCACCGTTCTGCTTTGATTCCCTGCCATCAGGATATTGAAATGCTTGCACTCATGAAACAACAACGAGCAATAGATAAATTAATAGCTTAGATGGAGAAAAAGGAAGGACATTATGGGATCAATTTGTGCTTTCTCACATGGGAAGATCAAGGATCAATTGATTTCCACACCTGGCCTACAGATCAATGTCTGTGGGTGGGTTTAGCAAGGAAGCTTATTTTGAATTCTGACACTTGAGAGGAAGTTCAGCTCTGTTTTTCTCTAACAGCCAGTGGAGGTCTCCCTACTCCTGTAGGGTGAAAAGGATTCAGTAAGTGACAAAATCCCTGCAGCACACAGTACAAATGGACTAAATTCATGAGAAGTGTTGACAAACTCCAAGAGATGCTTGGAGATGAACTTATGTGCTTCTAAAAGCCCATATTAAATGGGAGGAGTGGTTTCAAAGCCTGCAAATTATTCTATGTCCCTGATCAAGGTAAAACCCAGAGAAACCCCTTTCCACATGTATCTCCCAACTCTTGCCATCTCTGAAAACCTTTTCACCAGCCTCCCAAACAAATTTCCACTAGTCCCTGGCAAGAATAACAGTGGAGGCTCTTTCCTTTCCTTATTCCTTTTCTGTCACTCTGATATGCTGAACAAGTGTTTGACTAAATGCAAAGCCTGAAGAATCTTGAAAGTTAGAACAAAATAAAAAAAATTCCTTCCAGTGACACCTTAGAGACCAACTAAGTTTGTGATTGGTATGAGCTTTCATGTGCATGCACACTTCTTCAGATACACTGAAACAGAATTCACCAGACCCTTATATATAGTGGGAGGGTGGGTGGGTTTTTCCTCAGAAGGGTAGTAGGAGATGGGTGATTGACTTAGTTGGTCTCTAAGGTGCTACTGGAAGGATTTTTTTTATTTTGTTTCGACTTGAAAGTTAGGTCGTTCAGTTGGTAAGGTAGGTCTGCTGCAACTCAGGAACTATATCTCCCATGCTCTCTGGACTTTGTGCACCAGTATATGGTTATATGGTACAGTGTCTATTAACCACAAACAAAGCATGCTCATAGTTTGTTGTAGGTAATAGTTTATTGCTGGTTTATTGTTGTTGTTGTTTAGTCGTTTAGTTGTGTCTGACTCTTCGTGACCCCATGGACCAGAGCACGCCAGGCACTTCTGTCTTGCACTGCCTCCCACAGTTTAGTCAAACTCATGCGGGTAGCTTCGAGAACACTATCCAACCATCTCGTCCTCTGTCGTCCCCTTCTCCTTGTGCCCTCCCTCTTTCTCAACATCAGGGTCTTTTCCAGGGAGTCTTCTCTTCTCATGAGGTGGCCAAAGTATTGGAGTCTCAGCTTTACGATCTGTCCTTCCAGTGAGCACTCAGGGCTGATTTCCTTAAGAATGGATACGTTTGATCTTCTTGCAGTCCATGGGACTCTCAAGAGTCTCCTCCAGCATCATAGTTCAAAAGCATCAATTCTTCGGCGATCAGCCTTCTTTATGGTCCAGCTCTCACTTCCATACATCACTACTGGGAAAACCATAGCTTTAACTATACGGACCTTTGTTGGCAAGGTGATGTCTCTTGCTGGTTTATAAACCGTGGTTTAGATCAACCATGGCTTAGCATAATGGGTAGACTGGCCAGGCATTATTTCCAAACTCTCCCTTTGTTGTATCCTTCCTGCCTTTCTGGACATATTTGTTCTAAAAGCTAAAAGTTACACTAGCCGAGGCAGAGACAACAAACTTATTCATTGCTTGGAGTTTAAAAGAAAAGGCTGAGTTTACTACAATAGGTTAAGAGATGAATTTGATCATATCTAAGTGGTGGTTATTAAAATCAAAGATATAAGATGCTATATCTTCCAACAAAGTTAAATCAGCATTTTTTGGTCTTAATGAAGCAATAAGCATTTAACATGGATGTTCTTTTATTAATTCTGTAAATCTACAAGGAGTGCTTTAAAGTTAGATATGAGTGTGTCTCCCTTAATTTGCTTTCAATGCCATAGCCACTGACCCTCTAAATTGCAAGCCAATTATAAACATTGTAGTTCTAGTAGTAGTTGCATGCTGGGAGCATAAATTTAGAATGGTAATTTTAATATTCAGTTCATTAGGATGATGCTCGAAAAAATAAATTACATTTTTATTGGTTAGTGTTTGTCATGCACCTGGAAAATGGAGGAGGTGGAGCATTTACAACAAAAGAAAAGTACACAACACACCTGACAATGCAGTCCTGTACATGTTTACTCAGAAGTAAGTCCCACTTAATTGAAATCTTTCATATGATATGTAACATGAAAAAACTCCTGAATTTCTCAGACTGGGTGAGTTCAATATTGTTAATGGAAGGCAAAGACTTCTATTAGTAGCATGAGGCCACTTCCTCATGCTGCTGTTTTTAAGTTAAATATTTTAAAGCTATTGAGTGGTTTCCAACATTAGTCATACTCAGAGTAGACCCACTGAAATCAATGGACTTTAGTCCAATAAGTGACATGCAGTGCAGTATAAGCAGTCTTTTTTCTTCTTTCCTGCTTACCCTGTTTGTTGTTGTTGTTGTTGTTGTTGTTGCATATGCAGGATGCAACAACTAGCTCTCACCCACTGATTTAAATGAGTCTACTCTGAGTATGACTTACCGGTAGTTGGATATCATCCATTTATTCAATTTCTCTTCCTCCCTTCATCACACAGTGACAAACATTCTTGAGTTGAACCAAAGGAAGCTCTGTAAACGCCATCTTGGTAGTCAATATAACCCCACAATTAACTGGTAGTTCTAACAACGAACTCACACATATGTTTACATTCACTTGAAGTGCTGGGCTCTGACTCCAGAAAGGTAAACTATCTGTAAGACTTAGGTATTTGCCACCTATGCCCTCATCCGGTCAGGTGAAGTGATGGGAAGACCTGGCCAAAGTGACATAAGCCGCTTTGTGTATAAAGAATGTATGGACACTTGCTTTGGGTACAGACAAACTATCTTCTTACTGCGGTGTCCACCCCATGTCTCTAAAGGCTGAGAGACCTGGCAGGCTGATTTGCTGTAAGCCTATAGCTTCCTATAATAAAGGACTAGAACTGATCACTGGCATTTTGGGCATACTTCTTTGGTATCCCTGTACCCAACCTCTCCTACGAGCCCTCCTTTGGGACAGTGGATCAGTACATTTCTCATTATATTAATTGTAAGCCATGATTAGAGGACTATGAAATGGCAGCATATGAATTGTTAAATAACCAAAAATAACAAGCAAATGCCCAGATTATATATACCCCTCTGGCAACGGTTCATTAAGGTGAGAAGCCTTAAAGGCAATCTTTCTCTTATGTTACTCTCTGTGGTGGCTGGAGCTCTTATAAATACCATCCGTTAAAACTCTCATTGAGTTAGGTGGTGACCTATTGCGTTTTATGAAGTGGAGGGGGTGGTAATGTGTAACAATATGCCTTTCAGCAGATGGTGCCACTACAGCAATAATGAACAAATACATTTCTGCAAACTGGAATGTATGCTCAACAGATTTTTGTGGCGGCAGGTTCCTGCTTTCTCATAAGGCCTGGAGCACTTAAAAGGTCTACAGCGATCGCAATAAAAATGCCTCCTCATAAGTCTAGGCCTCAATTAAAGGTTGTAAATAAGAATCCTGATAATAGTTTGCCATTTGTGTTCATCAGTTACTTAAGTGATGTTGGCAACAGAGGCTAGGAGACTTCCTGCCACCCACCCACCCTCTCACAGCTCCATCTGTTACCTGAATCCAGGGCCATCTGTCGTTTTCTGCTGCAGTCCAAGCATTTACAAGACCTTTCTTGTTAAGTCGTGCATAGTAAGGATACCATTTCTGGAGCCCAAAAAGTGCCCGATGGGTAGATGATGCAGTAATCTGCTGGTTTGAAATTATTCCGCCTTCAATTCCCAATGGCCCAGAGCATTCTGTAGGAAAAGAAGGGATGAAAAGAAGAAAAGATACAGAACATTTGAAACACAAGAGTATGGATAATAGATTCCTGACTATGGATAATAGATTCCTGACTAGGGACAGGTGAATCTGTCAATTTCTGTTCCCCCATAATTTCTCATTTCTCCCATCATAAATTTAGTTCTCTACATTTTCACATCAGTTTTTTCACGTTCTTTTTGGAGTATACAGCATATATTTGATTAATATTCTATATCTTTGATCCTTTGCTTTAAAGATTTTTTTGATTTTATTTTTTAAAAATCATATTTCTCTGTAAGCTTATTTCACTGTATTTTGAGCTATCGTTAAAGTTGAAAATAAAACCTGTGATTTCAAAGCCTGTCAATAGTGTTGGAGGAAAATAAATTTATTTCATTGAGGGGGAAAAAGCATTTCATATATAATCAGGATCATACATTTCACCTATGAACAGATTTGTTAGCTGCAGCTAAACCTAGCAGAAGCCCAGTTACAACAAGAGTTTTAGTCAATATACTTCCTTGATGAGAAAAATTGGTATAAGTTCAGACAATTCTGAACAAACAAAATGTTTTGACAAGGAGGAGAAAGTAGAATCCCATATTAGTACTAAACAATATATTTGTTTTATTCTATTTATTTAATAAAAAGACAACATCAAGATGTTAAATGGGTTGGTTAAGACATACCACATCATGTTTCATTTATTCGCTTTTGCCACCCTGTTTCCCTGAAGTGCTCAGATTTCCTTCTGACCAAGAAACAAAACATTGTTTCCTGGATTATCTGAACTGAGTAAACTATGGTTTGCAAACCAGGAGACCAACCACTTCTCAGTGTAGAAAATCCACAGCTAGAGATTTCAAATATAGTTTAAACTATTGTATACATTCATGGTTTGTCCTGTTCAGATATAGCAATGAGCTATTGTGTGCCATTAAAAACAAGGCAGGGAATCAGAGCACATGGAGGAAAGAGGGAGGATGCTAATATAGGCCATATTCACGTACAGGAGGCTGATGTCAACTCCTGACACCCTTAAGCAGCTGCCAAGACTGCCAGGCCCACAACTGATACCTGTCTTTGACTCTACACATTGAGCTTCAACAGGTGAGTGGATCTAGCCACCCTCTTATTTTCCCACAATGCTCCTGACAGAGTCATTCTAGGCACACTGTGGGAAATTAAAAAGGTAGCTGCACACAGCTCTCCACCACTGTTTAAAGCATTGCCACTGAAGTCAGATAGGTTCACTGAGATCCACTGGCAATGGAGGGAGGGGAAATACAAAAGCACACTTTGCCCCGATTCCCCTCTAACGTGGAAGCAGTCCTGTTAGTATCATGGTTTGGGTGTTATGTGTGAATTTACCCAGTGGCTATTGAACCAGAGTTCTACAAATGCAGGGAGCTTCCATTGCCAGCTTCAACAAAGGTTTGTGTGCAAAGGCAGCACAGTTCTCATCAACAATTGGTAATGTGTTTTCCACTGTCAGAAAGTGGGATGCATCACGGGTGTGCTTAGAGTAGCAGTAGGGGCAGGAATAATTTATATCAGGAATAATTTACATCACAATCTGTTGATGGCTTAAACGGATTTCTAATAGGTGCACAACAAAATGTAGTATCTTTAAAATAATGGTTGCCGCGGGAAGACATTGCTTTATTGTTATTCAAGGTGATGCTGCAGTCTTGGATGCATTCTTTTAACTTATCCAGCTAGCAGAGCTCCACAAGAAGCCATCAGCAGCTCAACACAAACAGATTTCAAATGGGAGACATGTGAAAAGCAAATATGCTTTAGACATCTGTGGTCCGCTTCTCCTTCCAGTGCCTAATTTTGTGGAATGAGATAACTCTGGCTGTGCTTAGTATGGCATGATAATAGTACTGAACACAAACCCTGACAGTGGGATTATAGATGACCTCTAATACTATGGAAGTTAATACTGATTCATGCATAAACTTCTTCATGTGCAATTTAGCTCACAGCTATTCCTGTTCTCTCACTGCTGTTTTGTGAGAGTACTATGCTTTGGGAGGAGTGAAAAATAAAGGAAAATAAACTTTATGGAGGATCTTTATAGATAGGTTGGAATGAATATTGTGGTAGTTTGTTTATTTCGTATTATTTCCATAACCAATAGAAACTATATGGGCCATTATTGGTCCTTTTTCATCCATAGCACAAAGCCTATTTTCTGCAAAGGACCAGAATGTACTGCACAAAAGCACTTGAAGACACAGAATCTTCTTTCCTTCCAGCAGACGCAGAACACTTTTCAAGCTGCTTCATTACTGTGGTACTATAAAATTATATGATTATGACTACAGGAACAATTTTAGGGGGCTATCCATTTTACTGACAGCTATTTAAAACAGTTGGCAGCCACAGATTACTGGTCCAATTTTAATTCTGCACATATTCAGTGATAATTGAACATGACTCCCCTCCTACCCTGCTCAACTTTATGAACAGAAGCCAAGTTTCTTTCTCAAGGTGGTATTTACTAAATCTTTGGAGAGCCCTTGATCTATAGAGCAAGTGCATACTTGTGTTCCCTAGAAGATGTGAATCCTCATTTGAACTTTGCCACAATATATTTAAAGGAAAAAATTGTCCTTCATCTTTTTCTTTTGAGAAAGGAAAAAGTGGGGATGGGATTAAGGCTTTGCCTTCATAGCAGTGAAGATATTTGTCTACTACAAATATTGTTGAAAGGGTAGGAGGCTGAAGAAGGTGAGATTTGCAGCCTATTTACTCCTTGCCACAATCCCCCCCCCCCCCGATCAGGTAGGAGCAATTAAGGGCTGGCTTTTGAGGCACATTCAAAATAAATATGGAGGCCATTTGATATCTGCTGACAAGTCTTCAAGGGCAAGGACACCTCCTGGTTTGAAAGCCACATGCAACCACCAAAGTCTTAGTTTGAGACAGCCGTGGTGCAGGCCATGAATGCAAGCATTATGTGTTGCAGTAGCACTACGCTAAAGGAGCAATCCTATAGCAAGAATCAGCAGGATGAGGGGCTAGGATCCAGTGGATCTTTGGCTGAACCAAGAAGTTCCCAGGACAGCCAGGCTGCCCCAGCCTAACTCCCTCATCCTTGACTCAGTAGAACATATGCTGCAGGTAGAAGAGAATGACATAGGAGATCTTCTTTCCACTCACAGATTCCTATGCTGGATGTCAAGGCACTGTATGAATGGCTGGATAACCAATGCCTCTGAAAAGTTAGTGTTTCAAATGTCAATGGTTACAAGACAGAGAGAAACTTGTTCTTGTTATCATATTATTTATTGTTCAGAAAATGGTTCTAATTTTGTCCTGTCAATATAATTTTGCTCCCTGTCAAAGTAGATATACAACATATTGTTCCCTGTTTTTTTCTCTTATGCTAGTGTTTCTGTATGTATCATTGGCGTACATCAATCAATAAGGATAATGAAACCTTCACCTATTTCATAAAATGCATTTTGGTCCATTAATGCTGAGTTGGATTGCTTTGTCTTGTCACATCTTTCCAGTTAAATTATCAACTGAGAGGTCATCTGCTTTACTGTGGCCAACCCACACAAAAGCACCATCAAATATAATGCACTTAACATTGCTGGAAGGTACTCCCTTCAGATAATAGCTTGCTTTAGCTATGCTGCTAAAAGGGATTATCCTTTTCTTTCAAGTGTGAAATTCTGGCCTTCCACGTGTATTTTAAATTGTATTCTTTCTTTTCTAAAATTTAAATGCAACAAAAGGCTTCTCCTAAAAGATGACAACAGCATTACAAGACACATTTACTAAGATAGCTTAAAACATACCAGCTGGCCTAATTCTTCAGTAAAGGCTGAGAATGTATCACATGTCCTTTGTAAACCATCAAGAATGCAATGCTAATGCAAAATGTTAAAAATGAGCTATTGCCACCATACAAAGCACAACTGCATGCAAATTGCTCTAATTTAAATACGTTTCAAAAGCCACAAAGCCTGTTATTTTATTTTATTTAAATATCTATATTAGCTTTTGAAACTTCTAATAATTGTGCCAGATGTCAGTCACATAATGTACCCCATGAACGTGGGCTACAGGAGCCTGCATAAATTTATTTGTAGAATCAGAGCCACATCTTAAATTGAAATGCAAATATGATTGACACAGATACAAAGAGAGGTTTCAGGTATGTGAGAGGAGATCCAGAATTAATGTTTGCAATAAATGATGCTCAACTAAATTGCCCTCCCTAATAGAGGGAAAATATCCAAGTTGCAAATTGCCAAACATTATGTGCTAAAACTAGTCAAGAGGAGTTCTGTTGGGCCCAGTTGCGCCCTGTTTTCCCATCTTAAACTAATGTGATGCAAATCTTATTGTATTTTGTACAATTTATATATTGCTTGATTGCAAAAAACAAACAACACCCAAACACCTCAAAGTGGTTTATAAAAAGAAAAAAACAGCAAAATCATCACCAAAACAGCCAAAAATAATAATAATTAAAATCAGCAATAAGCTAAAAACAGATTAAAACACATCTACACATTCTCCAATTCTGGGTAGGCTTGCCTATGCAAAAATGTTTTTGGCAGGTGCCAAAAAGAGCACAGTGAACAGATTTATTTATTTCACACACACACACACACACACACACACACACACGGAGTTGCAGGGAATGGGAGTTCACCACATGCCTCCCAAATGCTCTATGGAACTTCTTCATGAATGGATGGGTGCTGTTTCCCATAGCACTAGACAGATACTTCTGGGAACCTGCTGCTAAGAATTCAATAGTTCTTGCTCTACTGGTAGGCTTTGTGGGGGCATCGGGTTCAAAACTCAACCCCTATTCTGATTATTTCTTCTAGAAGTGCTCTTATATGTAAGTGTTTCTGAGAGGTCAGGAATGAGTATGTAAAACAAAAAAAGTGAAGTGAAGCGAGACCATGGCAACCATTTCTAAACAATAATGATTACGATGCAAGGCTGACCAAAGGCG